TGTACATACATTTTGACTGCGGCTCCGGGCGGTTTGCCCGTTCTTATTTTTCGTTTCGGCTTTCTGAAATCTGGGCTTGGAGTTTTGCTCATATTTGTCTTCGCGATGTCCGTTTTGCTTGCATTACGTGTATGATTGTCAAATGTATTGATGAGGGGACTGCTTGTCTATGTTTTGCTGAGAATCCCTGAACCTTTTGCCTGCGCTTGATGTCACTGTAGATGGGATAGGAATCTGGTCCCGATAGTGGGTTTGTTCTCATTCTACTTATCTCATGATGGGGATTGTGTTATGATTGCATCTTGCATAATCGACGATCCAAAATCTGGCCCCGTGAGCGCCGCGCGAGAACATGTGTAAACGCGATCCGAGTCGCACCCTTACACACATTCCCGTGCGTCGATTCACCCGCCCAGACAGGACTCGCGGCGGAACCACCATCCCGCACGAGCACGCCGGGGCGCAACTACGTTCGCCCATCCGACACGTGCTCATGCGCGGTGACGATATCCCGACCCTCGCTACCCCACCGACGATGAAACCATGACGCGATCTTGGGGCTCAGACTCATCCTATGACCCGGACTATTTCACCCCTATAGTAAACGAGCTCATAAGGGCACGATACCCCTGTCACACGGAGAATCGGCTTCGTCCGCGGGAATTCCACTGTGCCACCACTAGCGACCCTCAGTGCTCCGATTTCCCTTCCCCCGACCACACCTACTACTTCACCCACCCAAGATTCACTGAGATCACCACCAGTTTTCCTCCTTTCCGCCTCCTTCTCCCGTATCATCTACTCAGTGTCGTTCCGTGGCCGGCCATAGCCCCCTGTTGGCCCAATACGTTTTGCATAAACTGCCGACGCAGCGGCGCACCGAGCACTCCGGAATTCCGAAGGCCCAACCCAAAAGCGCGGCGGCCTGCGCCACGTGGCGGCCCCCGACGGCCTAACTTTCCGGGACCACCTTCACCACGGAGGAATTTTCCCGTAACCCGTCGCCCACAGTGTCCCAGCCCCTTCGGACTGTGAGACCCTTGCGTGCGCACCCCTCGCTCACCTAATTGCATTCATATCCTTAAGACTCCCCCACTTCCCCCAAAAATCCTTGGCACACCCCTTTTCGCACTTCCAGGCCCACCCTCAACTCCGATCAGGAAGTTGCGCTGGGCGTGAGGTTGGGCGTCACAGCTCCCCGAGTCGGCCCCAACCAGAGTGCTTGGGATTATGCTGACAACCCTAGGGAGGCCAACTTCAAACAGCGATTGGATCTTGAGGCCAACATTTGATAAGATGGCGATGTGGAAGGACAAACACTCTTCCCATATCGGGAGATCGCTGGTAATCAACAACATCATGCTGGGAATTGCTGGCCTCCCTGCGGTACAAGTTGACAACATGGGCCATGGTTCAAGAGGTTGTCAACACACTCAAATGACAAGTGGCGGCACTATTATCAAGAGGTACAACGATGTTAAGAACACCATCAGTCGAGTGGCCTAGAACTTGATTATCTAACCAAAAGAACGAGAAGGCCTGGGAATCATGGACCCAACACTACAAGTCGCCCTCACCATTCAATGGATGAAGCAACTGTTGTTCAAACCCGAGATTACCCGGAGGACCTTCGCCCTGTAACAGATAGCGCGGCTGGTGCTCCGGACCCCGGTGGAGTTGATCCCCTAACCTGGCTAGAGGACCAGTACTAGACCATTCCAAGACGAACTGCACCATTTGAAGAGGAGGACCATCACATTGCTTGGAAGAATCTGGCAAGGGACGAGTTTTGGGCACGAGCAATGTGGGCCTGGCGACAACTCCTGGTGCCAAGCAAGGCAATGCAGGACAGGTGGGAGGAGGTCGCGAGGCAGCCCCTGATGGTAAGCGAAACATCACAGACCGTAACAGTCGGGTGTTTCGGAGTTCTGCCCTCCCCGTGGAATGACTAGGTCAAATGAGGGGTCCTAGAAATCAAGGATATATGGGACCAGGGTACAAGGGACTGGAAGCAGGAAAAACAGCTGCAGCAATATGTGGGGATTGGATGCACATCCTGCACAAAGGAGGAACGTAGAGGCGATGGGGACTGTGTTGGAAGTGCGGGAGGACACAATCCTCACCAACCTTTTTCCCAAAAGAAGAACAATACATCGGTCAGGTTCTCTCCAGATGGGTGAAGTGGTATGGAAAGTCCCAGCTCTACAGGATAAGAGTGCCCTAGAAACAAGAGGCCTGGGTGGCATTCCTCCCCGCCACCCCGATCCTAGAGCTCCGTTTTGACCCAAGGAATGGCAATGGGCTCCTGCACAAAGATAAAAAAATAACAGGAACACGCAGCTCATAAATCTAGAGGTAACCGTTGGTTTACAATTACAAAGACAAAACCAGCCACGCTCGCCTCACTGTAGTGGTAGATAAAGCGCCAGTGCCTGCCCACCAACAGAGGGGGCTGGCAACACCCTGGTGTTAATCCTGCCCAGGGGGGACATACTCTTCTTTTTCCGGGTCTTTTCGTTGTTTTCATTCTGTTTGCAATAGTACAGTAATACTTTGTATAGCACTTTGTATGTTGGCACATACTCTTCTTTTTCTGTTTTTCCTTTTTTTCCGGACATATACACCCATCCGAACAGGGAACCGGACATGCGGATCCGGGGAGAAGTAGTACGAAGACGTGGATGAGGAGGAACGGGAGGAGGACAAAGACGTGGACGAGGAGCAGCAGGAGGAGGACGAAGACGTGGAGTAGCAGCAGGAGTAAGAAGGTGAGGGTCACAACGACAAAGATCTGGGAAGAAAAAAAAGGACAAAAAAAGG